ACCAGGCTCAAGGTTGATTCAGCCTTCCATCCTTCCGAGGTCAATAAAATGAGGACCCAGATTGTTGGGAGCAACATGCTGACTCAGTAAACTTAGAGCAGGGGTGTCAAACTAAAGGCCCACGGGCCAGATCCAGCCCACAGGGTGCTTAGATCATGGCTGGCAGGGTGTTGCAGAAGTCCATCCCGTCTCCTCCACACACACCCCAACTGGAAGAGAACTTCAATGCTGATCCGGCCCTCAAAGATATCCAGTTTGACAAACCTGCAGTCCAGTATCCAGATCTTACATTGTGTATGGTTTTATATTCCTTTACAAGTACTGATATTACAGAAATGTTATATGGATCATTATATTCCAAACCCCAATTAGGTAAGACATCAAAACTTTCTAAAGCACTCAAATGAAATCACCTTTTTATCAAGCTCGGTCTCCTGCAGACTCAAGATATCGCCTAACGAAGCCACCCGAACTTGCAGAAGTTCAGCTGTCATTTTCAGAGCCTCCTTCTCATCCTCAAGTTGCTGAAACAAAAAGAAAAAGGTGCCCAGGTAGTCCTCAAGTCTACAATCCATTTAGTTACCGTTCAAAGTTACGACGACACTGAAAAAAGTGACTTTTGACCAATTTTCACACACAACCACCGGCATGGAATTCAAGGAATGTTATGACTATTAGCTTTAATGGAAGTGAGACTGCCTTCGAAGTGTCAGGGTTCCAGTTAACACACCCAACGGAATCAAAACTCCAAGGCAGGCATATTCCTCAAAGTATAGATTTATTAGGCATGACATATTGGCACGTCTGGGGAAACCTGACTCTAAACCCCCCTTGGATTTACCCATTAATTAAAAGTAACATTCGCTTTCGCCTGCCGATGCCATCCATCATGTGGTCCAATTTGTTCACAGTCTAAGGGTCAGTTGGTTCCAGATCCCACCTCCTTGCTCCTGGTGGGAACATCCTTGGTTCTCAGAGGAAAGAATTCCATTTTGGCTATAATCCCCTAGCTATCTCTACCTCCCCACTCCTGTTCCTATAGCTCCACTAATCTCCGCTGTGGCAGCCCTGAAGGTGCCAGGGGAAAATGGCTTCAGGGCTGACACGAAGGCCATCTGCTGGTTGACTAATGGGCTTCCGAATGGAGATGGTCAAAAGAGCAGACTGCTAGACTGGATGGGTCAGAGGATCAAACCAGCAGCCCTGCTTAGAGTCTCACCTGTATTCGATTTATCAGCCGCTCCTGTTCAAAACCAGGTTTACTTGACTTTTGCTCCCCCACGTAGGTCTTAAACTGCAGCACCAAAGCATTCTGGGAAGCCAGTTCTGCCTCAGTCACGCTGGAAGAAAGAAACCAGGCTGTTCTGACCCAGGCTTGCTTTGAAAGCAAGAAGCAAAGTCTTGGTCCCGACAAAACCTCTTTTATTTACACGACTGTGAATTCCTTTCATTCACAGTCAGCAAGGCTCTAACAAACAGTCTTCCAGAGCAATGTTTATCCACACGGACCTTATCTCGTTTAGAGCGTTGCCAGATAACTAGTTTCCAAACAGAGCAAAGCAAAACTTGCCACAGAGTCTCTTAGAATCACAAACAGAACTTTCCGGACCGAATGAATGAACTATTTCCTGCAAAAGCCCCCTCCCCGTTTGCTCCTCTTTTGTTTCCTATGGGAGGGGCCACTCACCTCCAAGGTGTAGCTTTTCTCTTAAGTCGATCCTGCTTTCTTAGTTGTTCCTGTCTTCTGGCAGCTCTGTGAGTGTCAACCCACAGCTGACTTTAGACCACCATTTGTCGGCTGTGACCAGGGGGGCATTTGCCCAGGTTCGCCTGGTGCACCAATTGCGTCCCTACGTGAACCGGGAGGCTCTCACAACAGTCA